ACCCGGGCCCCCACCACATCCCGAGCTTGACTCCACCATAGCACGATATTGTCCGTTTTGGGCCCGACCACGCCCTCACGGTTTTGTTTCTGGGAACTCACACGAGAACTTCCCAGTGGGTCACCCATCCTGAGATTGCTCTCGCGCGAACTCGCTTAACTTCGGAGTTCCTACGAAACCCGAAACCAGTGAGCTCCCAAAAGGCCTTGTGCTAGGTAGAGAAGGGAATATACATATAAGGCTTCCAAAATCCACTCCCCTGGGCAATATGGGATGTTACAACAACCTTTTTTCAAATTTGTAGTATTTTCTTTTTAGTTTTTATTTGTACCCATGTATTAATTTCTTTTTGCGACCAAATATTTTAAAATTTCATTTGTACTCATAATTTTTTAATCTTTTATTTGGACCCTAATTTATTTATAATGTACCCATTCTTCTTTATTAATGTACCACTTTGTTATATGTGAAATGTACTAATTTTTTTAACGCTATGGATATATTCTTTTGCCATTTATTATTTCTTATTGTTACATAGTTTTTATCCATTTATTCAATCAAAATGTTTGAATTTTTTTATTGTAGCCGTTTATAATACTATTATAATGAGGCATTTTAAATTTATAGGATTATAAATCTCATAAAATATCAAACAATTAATGTCAAAACTATAAAAATATAAATATTAATAGTAATATCATGAGGTGTACAAAGTCAAGGGACTTTGATCAAACTTTGAATACCATTAAGGTTTTAGTTAAAGAGTGTTAGGAACTAGGGACCGCATCCAAAGTATCCCAATTTTAAATCGGTTAGTTGGTTAAAATTATTAATTTAAGTAATTCCTGGTTACCACTAAAAAAAGGTAACTTTTTATTTTTGTTATTATATTTAGAGTAAATTGTAGGAATGGTCCTTCAGCTTTAACTCAATTGGAGCAATTGTCCATCAACTAAAAATTCATTACCATTAGTCTCTCAGCTCATCAAAACGTGCAGTTATGATCCCTCAACTAAAAATTTATTACCAATGGTCCTTCAACTTTAATCCAACTGGAGAAATGGTCCCTCAACTTTGACCCAATTGCAGAAATAGTCCCTTAATTTTAACCCAATTGTAGCAATGGTCCTTCCAACATAACTCATTTTGACAAAATTCTGACGAAGTTGACAAAAATGACCATAGCTACACGTTTTGATAAGTTGAGGGACCAATGGTAATGGACTTTTAGATTAGGGATCATTGCTCCAATTTGATTAAAGTTGAGGGACCATTACTACAATTTACTCTTGAATTTAATCAGTCCCTCTATTCATCAAAAAGGTGATTAATACTTTCATGAAAAAACTTCATTAATTTGTTAACATTTAACGCATAGTTATATAAAATAAAAAAAAGGGTAAATTACACTTTCATACCTCAGGTTTGGGGTCTATTTCAATTCCTTACAACATTTTCAAAACATTTCACTTTCATACCTTAAGTACTATTTTATTTCAAAATAATACATCCGTTACATTTTGCATCCATTAATCTGTTAAATGCTGACGTGACTGCCACATATATGCCACGTGGCTACCAAATGTCTGCCACGTGGTAAATAAAATAATTTTTTAATGTTTTTTTTAAAACCTGAATTTTCTCAAAAAAATTGAAAAAAAAAAATTACATTTTCATACCTCAGATTTGGGGTCTATTTCAATTCCTTACAACATTTTCAAAACATTTCACTTTCATACCTTAAGTACTATTTTATTTCAAAATAATACCTCTGTTACATTTTCCATCCATTGATTTGTTAAATGCTAACGTGGCTGCCACATATATGCCACGTGGCTGCCAAATGTCTGTCACGTGGCAAATAAAATAATTTTTTTTAAACCTGAATTTTCTCAAAAAAAGAAAAAAATTGAAAAAAAAAAAATGAAACCCACTATCCCACCCCCCTCCCCCAGCGACCCACATCCCTATCCCTAACCCAAAACCCAAAAAACTTGCTGCAACAGCAAGAAGAAAAGGAAGAAGAAGAAGAGGGAGGAAGAAGAAGAAGAAGAAAAGAAAAAGAAAAAGAAAAAAAAAGTCCACATGGCATTAACTTCCCTGCCTTTATGCTATGACCAGTTGAAGGTTACTTACAGTACTCAAAAGGAAAAATGGTCCATGGATGAACTGATTTCAATTGTTGCCCAAGAGGAATGCAGGCTTAGGCGCAAATCAATCAGGCTGTAGTGAACTTGGTGCACACTAACAAAGGGAAGAAGCCATTCTTCCATTCTGGTAAGGCCCCTAAACTGATCTCCAATAGTAGTGCTGCCATGACTACATCCTCCTCCAAAGGACCTGAGAATTATAAGGATATAATGGACAATATAAGGTGCTATTTTTGCAAAAAAAAAAAAAAAAATTGGTCACTTGAAAAGGGACTGTGAGAAACTCAAAGATCTGAAAACTAAGAAAGGTATTTTGGTCAAAATTTTTGTGTGTTTTAAATCTAATCTTGTTGAAGTCCCTCCAAATTTTTAGTGGTTTGACACTAGTTGTTCAGTTCACATCATCAATTCATTGCAGGGTTTCACAAGAAAAGGTATAACAACAAGAAATAAAGTGTTTCAAGTCCTTGTCAGCAATGGAAATAAAGTGGCTGTGGAAGCAATAAACGACCTCAAGCTTAAATTATCCAGTGGCTTTGTTCTAGATTTAGTTGATGTTTTATATGTACCTTCACTTAGAAAGAATATACTTTCAGTTTTGAAACTTGTAAAAACTAGCTTTGCCTTCAATGGAGACAACAAAAATATCAGGATTTACATGAAGAATAATCCAAGAGTTGTACTTGGAGTTTGTTTTCTAGTTAATGAATTATGGCAAGTACTTTGTTCGGTTTGCAATGAAAGTCTTTGTTTTAATATTGAATCACCTACATCAACTAAAAGACTTGTCTTGAATGAAAAATCTTCCATGCTTTGGCATAGAAGATTAGGGCATATATCTAAAGCAAGATTAGATCTCATGGTTAAGAATAAAATTTTATCTGCTTTGGATTTCTCAAATTTCAAAAGCTGCATTGAGTGTTTTAAGGGGAAGATGACTAAAACTAAGAAAAAGACTTTAGTTAGAAGTAACAAACTAATGGAGATTATCCACTCCGATGTTTGTGGACCTTTCCCAACTAAAACAATATGTGGAAATATTTACTTTGTGACCTTTATTGATGAGTATTCAAGGTTCTCATACCTTTATTTGATTTCAGAAAAATCTTCAGTGTTAAATTGTTTCAAAACATTTCAAATTGAAGTAGAGAAACAGTTGGAATTGTCCATTACAATTCTAAGGTCCGATAAGGGAGGTGGATACTATGGCAGGTACATTGAGGCAGGTCAATCTAAGGGGCATTTGGCTCTATACTTGAAGGTGTGTGGTATTCAAGCACAGTACATTGCCCTAGGCACGCCATAACAAAATGGCTTGACTAAAAGGAGCAATAGAACTCTGATTGAAATGGTTAGAAGCATGATGAGTTGTTCAACACTTCCATAGTTTTTATGGGGTGAAGTAGTGAAAATGTCGAACTACATACTGAACTGAGTTCCTGGCAAATCAGTTTGCAAAACTCCTTTTGAATTATGGACAAGGAGAAAGCCAAGTTTGAATCATATGCATGTTTGGGGTTGTAGTGCAAAAGCTAGGATGTATAATCCTACTAAAAAGAAATTGGATTTGAGGACAGTTTCATGTCATTTTGTGGGATTTCCTGATAAATCAAAGGGTTATAGATTTTATGCATCAAATCTCTCAAACAGAACATTTGAGTCCAATACTGCCAAGTTTATTGAAGACAAAGAAGCATTGAGTAATTTTCAAGGGGCACGGATTTTGGAATTTGAAAAGCAAGGTGATGTATATGAAAGTAAAAGTCACGAGGAGAACTTTGATTTACATCAATCTATGGTGGAGTTTTGGATTGAAGATTTTAATTTACAAAGTAACACACCTGCTATAAATATCAACACACCAAATACAAGTGTTGGTGCAACCTTTGCTCCATCACATGCATCAACTAATCAACCATTACAAGCATCTGTGAATGAGAGAAAAGTAATGCCACAAAGAGTCAGGAGGTCAGTAATACCAGATGATTATTTTGTGTACCTTGAAAAAGTGGAACTTAATGAAGGCATATCGGATGATCTTGTCACTTATCAAGAAGCTATGAGTAGTTTGCAATCTGAATTATGAAAGGAAGCAATGAATGATGAACTGAAATCCATGCAAACAACTAATGTTTAGAGTTTAGTTCAAGCACCAGCTGCTATCAAGGTAGTAGGGTGTAAATGGGTGTTTAAAACCAAGAAGGATTCAAGTGGAAGAACTATGAGGCGCAAGGACAAGCTAGTGGCTAAGGGTTATACTCAAACTGAGGGAGTGGATTACTCAGAAACCTTCTCTCCTGAATCAACTAAAGATAGCTTTCTTAAATGGTGATTTGGAGGAAGATATTTATATGGAACAGCCTATTGGTTTCATTAAAGAACGTGAGGAGAACATGGTTTATAAGTTGAACAAATCGTTTTACGGCCTAAAACAAGCCTTGAGACAATGTTTCTTGAAATTTGATGAAAAGGTAACTTCCTTTGGTTTTTATGAGAATAAGATTGATGATTGTATTTATCTCAAGGTCATTGCATCAAGATTTATTTTGCTTGTGCTTTATGTGGATGATATTCTCTTGGTGGCAAGCAATTAATCTTGTGCTTGAAACTAAGGGGTTATTGTCTAAGACCTTTGAGATGAAGGATATGGGAAATGCATCATATGTGCTTGGAATAGAGATCAAAAGAGATGGGGCTCAAGGATTGTTGGGACTCTCACAAAAGTCGTACATTGAAAAAGTGTTGCACAGATTCAATATGCAAACTTGTGCCAATGGAGAAGTACCAATAGGAAAGGGAGACAGGTTGAATAAGTCTTAGTGTCCAAGGAATGAAATTGAGAAACAAAGCATGATCAATAAGCCTTATGCGTCCTTGGTAGGCAGCTTGATGTATGCACAAGTTTGCACAATACCTGATTTGGCTTTTGCCATCAGTGTGCTGGGAAAATATCAATCGAATCTAGGTGAACAACATTGGGTTGCAGTGAAGAAAGTGTTAAGATACTTGCAAAGGACAAAATCCTTTATGTTGGTTTACAAGAAAGTAGAGAACTTGGAACTAGTTGGCTACACTGATGCTAACTTTGCAGGATGTGAGGATGACAGGAGGTCCATGAGTGGTTACTTATTCTTCTTAGCAGGAGGAGTTGTATCATGGAAAAGTGCTAAACAAAAGGCACTAGCCACGTCAACCATGGAGGCTAAATTTATAGCATGTTTTGAAGTTACCAAGAGGGACTTGTGGTTAAGAATTTAATCAGCAGCATGGCTATTATTGATTCAATTTCGAGACCACTAACCATATACTGCGATAACAAAGCTGCAATATTTTTCTCTAAGAATAACAAGAAGTCTGAGGCAAAAAGGTTGATGGACATCAAATACCTATTAGTGAAGGAATATGTGAGAAAGGGCGAAATCACGATTGAGCACATTGAAACAAATTTGGTGATAACTGACCCTCTGACTAAGCCATTAGCAGTATGAGCATTCAAGGATCATGTCTCTAAGATGGGAGTGCTTGAATCTCTAGAATCTGCTGAAGTGTGAGAGTGAGGAAAACTCACTGTAAGTCACATGTGTATTTCAAAAATGTTTTCGAATGTTACTATATTGTTCAATATAAAGACCTACTGAATCATATGCACTCGTTGAGCCTATTGGTTGTCTGAGTTGCTGATTGTATGCATGTATATGTGTATTCTCATGTCTTGGTGATTGGAAATGAATAATTCAAGGGATACAATTCGGTGAATGCATCAGGATCTTCAAAAGATGATCCATGAAATGACTGTTTTGAATGAATGAAGGAATAACAATTCATTGAAAAGTCTAAAGTTTCTTTCTACATATTAGTTTTAAGTATTTGTGGTTTCAGGGTGCTTATGTTGACTATAAACACATGTTTTCTAGAATTCAAATACTTGAATTAATTATAGTAGTTGAAAGGGAAGTTAGTAAGCGTGAAACTTGATGTGATTGATAGGAGCATACTTATACTACTTAGTTATGTTGTTTCCTTGCATTTAGTTAGCTAAGTACTACTTATTATAGTGTTTTAAGCTATTTTCGTGTGTTTGTAGGTCCTAATGACAAAGTTGGCAAGAAAAGGCAATTTTGAGCCTTGGAGAGCTTTTTTGGGCTTATTATGGATAGCTTGTATATGGAGCAAGGTGGATGCACGAATTTGGAGTCAAAAGAGGCTAGGAACATGCTACAAATCAGAAAAGGAAAGTTCAAGACAAAGAAGATAAGGAAAGAGCAAGAAATATGGAAACTTATCATAACAACCTTATCTTATCCAAACCTTATCATATCTTATCCTAACCTAATCTTGTTCCACCTTAATCCTAGCTACAAGTGGACCTAAAAACCTAATTTCTAGAAGCCTTATCTGACCCTAAAAGGGTGCCGCACCTTTCCCCCTTTTATTTCTTCTAGAAAACCCAAAATCAGCCATAAAACACCTAGTTTCTAGAAGACCCAATTTTGGACGAATTTCCCCAACCTTTTTCCTCTTGGATTCTGATTTAAATTGGCCCTTTTCCTCTTAGATTTGGATTGTATAAGTCCATATCAGAAAATAATTGGGCTATGACTTAATTTCCAAGCATTGTGCCGCACCCTAGGGGCCCTAATCACTTGTTTCTACTAGGTTTAACCCTAATTCTGATTCCTAGGGTTTTTGCCGTGCTATATATATATATATGCATCTTAATGTGCCGCACCCCCCTACACACCCTATGCAGCCATTCATCCTTCAATTCATTCATTCATTCACACCACACACCATACATTCAGAAACATACCTTTGCCGCAACCTTGGGAGAAGAAATATTGTGCCGTGGTTTCCATAGGAGAAGGAGACCCTTGTGCCACAAGAAATCTGCATCCCTTGGAGACTTTCAGAGTTCTTTCTTCCCTCATCTCATTTCCATGTTTATTTTAATTTGCTTTTCAATTGTTATGAACATGTGTAACTAAGTTTTTCTTAGTTAGAGGTGAATTCAAAGCCATGGACTTATGTTTTATATGAATTGATTTCCTCCAGATTTTGTTTCTTGAATTGTGAATGTGATTTACTTAACTGATTTATTGAGAACTTGTTCTTGTGTGTTGATTAAGGATGCATACTTAGTTTTCGTGCATGAATTTGATGCTAGAATATAAGGGAATTTCACCTAATCGTTATGAACTTATATTCACAAGTAGTGAAAATCACTTGTCATGATTGTGTTAAGTAAATTCTAGGCAAGAGTATCATGCAGTTCATAGTTACGAATGCCTAGTCAATGCTTATGGGTTTCAAAAAGCTTAATGATCTTTGATTTTATCTCTATTATGCGGTTCATGTAGGGAATTTGATAAGAATAATTTGGTTGTCGATGCGTATTCCATCAAATTCAATGAAACTAGGAAAATCTGAAAGTTAATTTGTGCTTTTCACAATTAATTTGGGGCATTGTCATTCATGGTTTAAAGGGATAAAATCTGGAAATCAATTTGTGTTGCATATGTGCATGTGTGGAGAAAGACCCTCTAACTAGCCTTTTACCCATTCAATTCACCTAATTTAGTGTCTAATCTATTTAGTTTTGCAATCTGCCTAATTTAAATAATTTCGTCCAAATCAATTCCCCTTTTATTAAGTGTGTTAGATTAGTTAGAAAAGTGTTTGAATCTGTCCAAATTAGTGTTTTGAGACTAAGTTAGTTAAAATTCGTCCAAACAACTCCATAGAGTCAGTTTTGAGTCTTTTTGATTGTTTGTTGTTGTTTTGAGTGTTTTAAGTTAGTGTTGAGTCTATAGAGTCTAGTTTAGTGTTTTTGAGTCTTATTTGAGTTGATTAGCATCCCTAGTTAATCCCCGGTTTAGAACGATCCCTACTTGCATATATACTACAATTGTCACAAATAGGGTTTAATTTGTGTGTCAACTTAATTTTCACATCAGTGATCACATAAGGTATCAGTGTTATAAAAGGGCATGACTTTGATTATAATGTTTAGTCTGTGTCCATGTCGGAGAATGTTAGATACCTAGTTGGACTTGACTAACATTATAAGTATGAATCTTATGTTGCTAGTATGTTATAAACTGATTAAAGAGTTGTAAGCATGTAAAACTACTTCTTATAATCAAGGATATGTGTATAACATGCAGCAAATGATAATTGCTTATCCACTACTCGATCAAAACTGCCAGCAACTGCAAGTAACTAATTTCCACGATAGATGGAAGTTAGATAAGCCTATGTATATATAATCCAATTCCCTACTCGTGAAGAGTTATTTTGAATATTCGAGGGTTTTATCACCTTTGGGACATAAGGTCTTAAACGAGTAGAAGAATTGCATTTCAACCAAAAACATGACTACTCCAGGTATCGCACATAGTCGAATGAATGTAATCTGGGATACTTGTTATACAATGAACTTGCTGCGTTGACAATTGGATGGGAATTTAATTACGTAGACAAACTTATATATTAGTTTCCAACAGGCTAAACCAATTTCTTTGATTTCTTTTCGGTCTAGAATTTGAAATTTTGAATTACTTTGGTATTTAAGTTGTGTCCTGATCTTGTTTTGCTTTGTTGTTGATAACTGTGCCATTTGTAGGAACCATATCATGGATCTGAGTAGAGATCCTCTTTAGATCTAAAAAAATGGAGCCCAATGATCAAATGATCCAGATTGTTAAAATTTGATCCAACAGCTACAATTATTATAATTTTTAGAGGGACCCTCTGTTTGTAACCGTTGGATCAAATTTCAACGGTTCGAATCATTTGATCCTTGGGCTCCGTCTTTTTTATTCGAAGAAGATATGTACTCTCATGGATCTATCTGAGCTCTATTCTTTTCATTTTTCCTTTTCATGTTATTTCTATTGATATATTTTTTTATTGTGTCTTGTTGTTTGATGATGAGTAGGCATTGAGTGCCAAGCAAACCAGGCAAGCGCCACAAACGAAGAATGTACAGTTGATTGGGGTATACTTCACCTTTCAAATACTAATATTGTAAAGTTTTATGTATGCACTATTGTTTAAGATTTTGTTCTACTTGTGAGCCCTTGATATTTGTTCAGTATAGAAGCTCTACATAGTTCACTTTTATGGTAATTCACCATCAATTTGGCAGATTACCTCATCGGTATTTTAAACATTTACTCACATAAGTAATTATAGTCCCTTTTCTTTCTATCCCTGTAAAAATTATGTAAAGTGGAACCAAGTACTTTATAACTCTTTATGGTTGAAGTGTAATGGAAGGATGGAAAGAATCCCTCTAGACCTGATGTCATGCACATATTCACACAGTGATAAATCACACATTTGCTTGTCCTTGCCGTGTTTACTGGCTTCTGTTAGTGCTTTAAAAGTAAAGAAACAAATGGAGGACTTCATGTTTCAATAATGGAGATTCTTGAAGTGCTATTTTAGAACTAACATTAGTTTGCTTGAATTTCTTTTAGTGATATGCATTCTATGTGCCCTTTAAACTATTTTTTACTGCGTTTATACCAGTGTTTTAAAAACCTCGTCTCGAGTTGCTTCTAGGCGGCCTTGGAGGCGGGACGGCAGTCATTTCATCTCTGTTCTATGGGAGTGGGTGAATGATGTGATATAAACTAACACAAAAATTAAACCCTCTTTTTGATAGTTGTAGTATGTGAAAGTAGGGATCGTTCTAGGCCGGGGATTAGGAGGGATGCTAATCTACTCAATTTAAACTCTAGAACACTAAACTATACTAAAAAACAGAAAACTAGACTCTAAATACTCAAAACAAACTAGAATGATCAAAACAACACAAAACAAGCAAATTGACCCAAAACAGAAACCAAGAGTGATTTTGGACAAATTCTAACTTAACTTTGACTCAAAACACTAAAGGAAACAAATTTAAACAAGTTCTAACTAAGTAAACACAAAATATTAAAGGGGGAATTGATTTTTGACGAATTTAAAACTTAAGCAAACAAGTCACAGAAAACTAAACTAAATTAAAGGTACGAATTTGGGTGAATTAATGGGTGATAGGCTAGCTAGAAGGTTCTTCTCCACACATGACACATATGCATACGAATCGATCTCCAATTATTATTCCAATAAACCATGAATGACAATGCCCCAGGTTAATCGTGAACTGCACAAATTAACCATCAAATTTTCCTAAATTCATTGAATTGGACTTAGCGACGCAATCAAATTATTCTTATCAAGTTCCCTATATGAACAACATGATAGAG